AAAAAAAAAAAAAAAAAAGATGGATTCTAGGAATAGGGGTAGAGATGGGGGAAGTTAGGGAAAGCTTCAGGAGTTGATGCTTGAGCTGTTTTCCAGGATGAAAAGGTTATTAGCTAAATGAAAGACAGGGTGGGGAAGGCATTCTTACTAAGTGGGAAAGCAAAGTTAAGAATCAGTATGGGCCTTTCAAGAAAGCCTCATGTAGTTTGATATTCCCAGTTAAAAACTGTGCTGGCTACAAGTTTCAAGTACTATGACCAGAAATTCAACACTAAAGCAATATCTTTCAATCTCTTATCCTTAGATACAATAAGCTAAAGTGGCCAGGCTCAAGCTAAATGGTGGCTCACGCCTGTAATCCCAGCACTTTGGGAGGCCAAGGTGGGTGGATCACTTGAGGTCAGGAGTTTGAGACTAGCCTGGTCAACATGGTGAAACCCCCTCTACTAAAAATATAAATATCAGCTGGGTGTGGTGGCGTGTGCCTGTAATCCCAGCTACTTGGGAGGCTGAGGCAGGAAAATTGCTTGAACTTGGGAGGCACAGGTTGCAGTGAGCTGAGATCGTGCCACTGCATATCAGCTTGGGCAACAGAGCGAGACTGCCATCTCAAAAAAATTGTTTTCAGATAATTTTCTCAACTGGTTTTAACTAAGTTTAAAAAAAACAGAGCTTCAGAATGCAGTTCATTGCAATTTCATCAAAGCATCCTCCTCTACATGACCTACAGTTCCTTCGCAGGATAGGACACATTTACACATTTGATATTTAATAAAAAGTTATTGGTCTTGAGGCTAAATCTTTTTTCTTTTCTAAAACATCCTAACATTTTTTTTCTTTGAGGCTAAATGTTAATTCATCTTCTTAACCACTCCCTGAAGAGTTGCATTCTTCCTGTTTTACTCATTTACATATTCCAATGTTACAGGCTTATTATTTAGTAGCCATATTAGGCAGTTTAAAAAAAAAAAAAAATTCAGGCTGGGCGCCGTGGCTCACGCCTGTAATCCCAGCACTTTGAGAGGCCGAGGCGGGCAGATCACCTGAAGTCAGGAGTTCAAGACCAGGCTGACCAACATGGTGAAACCCTGTCACCAAAAAAAAAAAAAAAAAAAAATTCAAGACAATATTCTATGTTTACGAGGATAAATTCTGCAGAGATGGCTTGTACTTGGATAATAAAACCTTTGGTTCAGGCAGCTACTTCTTAATATCATTAACAAAGAAAGTAATATAAGAAAGTTAACAAAAGCATAGATTCTGAAGCCAGACAGCCTGAGCTTGAATCCCATATGGGCCACTTACCTGTGTGATCCTGACATAACCTTTCTAAAGCCATGACTTAAATAGTAGAGGTGATAATACCTACCTCAGAGAGTACAGGTAAAGATTATGTGAGTTATTGCATGTAAAATGTTAGGCAGAGCTTGCCTCATGCTAAGCACTCAATAAATGATATCAATATTACTATTAATACATGCTCTTGCATGTATCAGTGAAATAAGGGACAGAAGAAATAATCAACAAGACTCTACAATGTTAAGAATAAGTTTACCAAAATAGGCTCAGGCGAAAGTTTTTCTTCTTTAACAGGCTCAGGTTCTGGCTCTGGCACTGGCTGGGACACCGGCACTGGCACCAGCATAGGTACCTTTTCCAGAGGTTTTGGTAGTTTTTTAGCAATAACTTTTCCAGTAGCTGAAGGTTTTCCTTCCTGTATAGATGAAACAGAGAGAATGGAATATTTCTGCATCAAGGACCACAGTTGGAAGGCGGGCTCTTACAGAAGTTAGGTCAGGAAGAGGGCTACCTTTTTCATAGGCATTTTGGCCTGTAGTTGTTCACTGACTTTGTTACCAATGTCCCCAAGAGCTGTTCTTGGCCTCAGTCCGGGCTTCGAGGTTGCAGCAGGGGCCACAGGCACGCGCTTTGCGCCTGCCATACTGATCTTCGTCGTATTTTCAGCATTAATTTTCGAGTTCTGAAAGAAGCAAGACTACTTTAAGAGCTGGTCCACAGAGGCTCGAGTAAGTCAAGGGTTAATTAAGGTGGGGCACAAGAGAGGTTCCCAGAAGGAAAGCCGACTAAATATGGGTTCCAAGGAAAAACGTGGGTCCCAGAGTGTACTCTGAGGCCGTGACAAGTCAGTTTCCACCGAGAACCTCTACATTTACCGATAGAGGGATTTCCTAATTAGTCCTGGCCAGCCCTAAAATACTGATAATTTACATTTGAAAGGAAACTGAAAAAGCCTCCAACTGCAGACACCTTCTCTCTGGAATGGGGGTTACGCAGTTGCTGGCGGGCCCACTCATGAACCCTCCAACACTTTTTCAAAAGGTTCCTGGTCGACTCTCCACCTCCCCCAAACATTTATCCAATATCGGTCCAGATCTTTTTCTCACCTTCCTCTCTCCGTCCACCGTCCCCCACATTCCCCCACCAGGCCTGGGCCCACCTCGGTTCTCTTGGTGACTCCCCTCCCACCTTCCTCCCTAAATTGCTCCTGAATTCCTCTCCCGCTCGGGGGGCTCCCGCAGGCGAGGCAGGACCAGCAGGCAGCAGCGAGGAAGGCCGCATTAGTTCGCAGTCCGCAGCGGCTCACCCTGGTGACTCGGAGCGCCATGGCTTCCTCTTCACCAGGCAGCAGCGGAGAGAAGCAGAACACCGGAGTCCCGACCAGCCGAGGACCTGAATCCACCAGAAACCAACAGCCGTTCCTCCGCAGCACGCCGGGAAGAGCCGGCCTAGCCTTAAGTTTAAACCCCGCACTGCTCCCTCCTTATTGGCCTGTTCGTGGCACTCGCTAACTTCCCATTGGCGGCTGCCGCTCCCGGAGAATGCGTTTCCAGGGCGATCCCGCGATGGCATTCGAGAGGGGCGGGATCAGAGTGACGCTAAGGCCGGAAGGCGTGGCCAGGTTCTCACGTGGTCTGCCTCCGCGCCTGCGCTCTCGGGCAGCTGCCGCGGTCACCTGGAGAGTCTAGCGACGTGTGCACCGCCCACCTGGAAAGGTGGGGGTGCGCTGCCCGTGCCACATCAGGGAAAGCCTGGTGGCCTTTGGAAGGTGACAGTGGCGTGGCCACAGTCTCAGAAGTGTCCAAAGTAGTTTTGGATCTAGTCCAAATTATTATTACACACTTTCCATTTCTACGGTAGCAGCAATAATATAGTTCATGAAAGGCGTTGATATACATTCTTTTATTTGATAGTTGAAACAACTCTATGGGGTGGAGGAAATGAAGCTCAGCGGCTTAGGTGACTTTGCCAGGATCACACATTAGCAAGCGAAGAACTGAATTTAGGGGTTTTTTGAGGGGAGGGTGGGTATTCGTATTATTTTCGCAACACTGGTTGTTCCTTAAGAATCTCACCTTCCAATCATGAGGTCAGGAGATTGAGACCATCCTGGCTAACACAGTGAAACCTTGTCTTTACTAAAAATACAAATATTAGCCGGGCATAGTGGCAAGTGCCTGTAGTCTCAGCTATTCGGGAGGCTGAGGCAGGAGAATAGCTTGAACCCAGGAGGTGGAGGTTGCAGTGAGCCGAGATCGCGCCACTGCACTTCAGCCTGGGCGACAGAGTGAGACTCTGTCTCAAATAAAAAAAATAAAAAGTCACCTCCCAGCTTCTACTTAGTTGATTGTTTCTATTTACTTGATTACTTCAAGACTGGCCAGTTTCCCAAGGCCAATTGTTTTGTTTGTTTTAGCTTTCTATTTGGAAATAATATCATACTTGGACCAGTTACCAACAAAAATCTTGGAAGGAACATTTCTGTATCCTTTACCCAGATTCACCCATCCTTAACCTGTATTTGCCTCTCATGGGAAGATCAGGAAAAACAAAATACATTTTATCCCATTTGCTTTGTCATTTGCTCAATTTCTCTCTGGATCCAAAGAAAAACAAGAGGGTCCTTTTTGCCTTCTACTCCTCAAAACGCACCAGGAGCTCAGCAACTGGAGGAGAGGCTAGAGGACAAAAAGATTGGTATTTCATAGAGCAATGGCCTAAGAGCCAACAGAGACTCCTGGCTCTGGAAGTCAAGAATCCAGAAGGCGGCACTCAATCATTTGGTTTCATTGATCGTTACTCAGTCTTCTGTCATCATAGTTCTCCCCTCCCACCTGGATGCCAGCCAGGGGGCCCTTACCCTTGCTCTCCTTTTCCTGGAGTGCCTGCTTCTTCTTGCCCTCAAGGCCCTGGTTTCAATCTAGCTAATTCCCATTCATCCTTCAGTTCTGTGTTCAACATCCATCCTCAGTCTTTCTGAGTTTGAGCAATCCTTTCTGTGTTCCAGTTTTTTAAAAATAATTTTTACTTTTATATGCTTTATTTTTTTAGAGCACTTTTAGGTTCACAGCAAAATTGAACAGAAAATATAGAGCATTTCACCTGCCTTCCCCACTATTGACATCCCACATGAGAGTTGAACTTTTATTATAATCTATTAAACTGCATTGATACCACATTATTACCCAAAGCCCATAGTTTACATTAAGGTTCACTCTTGGTATTGTGTGTTCTATGGGTTTTGACAAATATATAATGACATTGATGACATATCTACCATTGTAGTATCATACAGAAGTTTCATTATCCTGGCCAGGCAAGGTGGTTCATGCCTGTAATCCTAGCACTTTACAAGACTGAGGCAGGTGGATTGATTGAGCCCAGGAGTTCAAGACTAGCCTGGCCAACATGGTGAAACCCAGTCAGGAAATCAACTGGGCATGGTGGTGGGCACCTGTAGTCCCAGCTACTTGAGAGGCTGAGACTGGAGGATGGCTTGAGCCCAGGAGGTGGAGGTTGCAGTGAGCTGAGATTGTGCCACTGTACTCCTGCCTGGGTGACAGAGCAAGACTCCATCTCAAAAAAAAAAAAAAAAAAAGAAGAAGAAAAGAAGTTTCACTATCCTAAAAGTCCTCTAGGCTCCACCTAGTGAAGCCTCTCTCCTTCTAGACCCTGGCAACCACTGATCTTTTTAGTGCCTCTATAGTTTTGTCCTTTCCCCAATGTCATATTGAGATCATACACTATGTAGTCATATTTAGTCTTTTCAGAATTGTTTCTTTCTTTTCTTTTTTTCTTTTTCTTTTGGAGACAGAGTCTCACTCTGTCACCCATGCTGGAGTGGTGGAACGGTGCGATCTTGGCTCACTGCAACCTCCACCTGCCAGGTTCAAGCAATTCTCCTGCTTCAGCCTCCAGAGTAGCTGGGACTATAGGCACACACCACCATACTCAGCTAATTTTTTTGTATTTTTGTAGAGACAGGATTTCACCATGTTGGCCAGGCTGGTCTTGAACTCCTGAGCTCATGATCCACCTGCCTTGGCCTCCCAAAGTGCTGGGATTACAGGTGTGAGTCACTGCTCCCAGCCTTAGACTTTTTAGACTCTGTCTCGAAAAAAAAAAAAAAAAATTAAGGGAACTGGCGATTGTCAATACTCTCACAGTTGATCCATATTGTGTTCCTTTTTTTGCAGAGATGAAGTCTTGCTATGTTTCCCATCCTGGTCTTGAATTCTGGCTCTCAAGAAAGCCTCTTCTTGCCTTGGCCTCCCAAAGTGTTGGGATTACAGACATGAGCCACAGCACTGGGCCTATATTATGTTCTTATTGACTAAATCCTTCTAAATTGATATTTAGTATACTTTAACAGAGGATTCTAGCTTCCTCCATTTTATTATTATTATTGTACTATAATTGTAGTATGATTGTAGCATAATTATAGACAAGATTGTCTGCCATACTTGCTGAAAATCAACTACAGCCATTAAGTTTTATTAACCACAAGAGACCTCTGACTTTTTTCTCCTTATATTTGCCTAAATGCTCCAGTAACAAGTGACAGATCCAATTGCCTTCTGGAAGAAACATCACAAAGATTCAAAGGTAACGTTGTCAAACTCTTGAAGAGAAAGAAAAAGGAAAAAAAGAAAAAGCTTCGGAAGGTTAGCCTTAGTTGATGCTGTTACTGAGAATACAGCTATGGGCACAGGCTTCTCAATTTAAGCTCACATTATGACCCATTATATACACATTTGTCAGAACTCAGGTAATTGAGTCAGGAATCCCAGGAACTTTTTGATTTTAGGAGAAGATGACTTTATGGAAGCAGATTGCTTTATTTAAGACATTCTAATTGAGATTGGTTCTTATGAAATTGGGCTCTAGGTTTACATTCAATTTGATTGGGCTAGCTGCATATTTGGTTTAAATGACTCTCAGACACTTGGAAGCATACCTACAAAATTCACCAAAATTACAGGTTGTGTTCCTTATGCTAATGTAATGTTACTATTAATGTAGGTCTTGATGAGAAGAAGGAATGAGGCCTCTGGAAGTGGTTTATACGCCATTTTGGGAATTTAATAATATTGCTAGTCTCTCAGATGACCTAATGCTCTGTCAACCCTATGCCTGTTGAAATACAAATCTTCAGTTAGCAGTCAGACACACTGGCTTCCATCACTTCATGTACAAGTCTCAACCTTGCACTGGAGGTGTCTAGTTTAGAATGCCGTGTTAGAAACTGCCCTTTCCAATGGCGATCGGCAAATGAAATTGTCTAGACAAGATTGTCTGCTACACTTGCTGGACGAAAAAAGCTTTAACTCTACCTGGGCTTGAGAAAGTGTCTTTTATTAAGAAAAAAAAAAAAAAGAAAGAAAAGAAAAGAAAAAAAGCTTTAACTCAGGCTCGGTGGCTCATGTCTGTAATCCCAGCATTTAGGGAGGCTGAGTCAGGTGGATAATCTGAGGTCGGGAGTTCAAGACCAGCCTGACCAACATGAAAA